TAATACACAAATAAGAATGATAATTAAACCACCTGTCCTATTTTATAAAAGCCTTATGAAACCTTAAGGTGGTAACCTTAATCTGTACAGCTTCTGAGATGACAATGGATCTATTAACACACAAGAGTGTTTAGATCTGAATTACTGTTACAGTTGTTTTACAGATATATTCTTCTTATATAGTTCATTTGTGAAATACATACCTCTACTGCCATATTTGAGAGTGCCTGGAATGGTTCTTTATGGATGATAATTATGGTGTAAGTTGCCTTTTTGTTGGGCTCATCAAAGCAAGGAAATGACTTCCGTGCATCTGTTGGCTCATGGTCAGTAGCTGCTATACTCCTTTAAAATAAAAAAAAATAGTTGCATTGCCCTAAGTCTTCATGAAACCCATTATTTGTTGTTTCCATTTATGAGCATAATTATTCATTAATACTGCAAACTATAGTAGAACTAGGAAAAGTTTTATTTCCATTGGTCTTTTTCTAAGATTAACTGCAATATTTATAGCCCTCCAATATACTTAGGCTCCTAGAAGTCACAACTGTTAGGTGTTTTAGCATCTAAATAAAATAAAACTGCTAATCATAAATGGAGGATGTGCTCATTTTTTTTTAAGAGCAGGAAAAGTAAAACACAAGTATTCCATCACACAGAAAGGAGAAATTCTGCCCAGCCTACTAATATGAGTAATCCCATTGACTTCACTGGAGTAAACATTAGTAATGTCATCCGCTAAAAGAAAACTAAGGCCCTGATCTATCTATGAGCTCCAAATGAATAGATTGATTTGTCCATAGGAAGCTCCACTGATTGGGTCTCATAACAGGATTGGGACCTGAGCTTCTCTTGGAAAGACATCTTCAAAAACTTTCGAGTGATTGCTCATCCCTACCTCCACAAAACAGTGAAGCTTTCTGCACAGCACTTTCGTGGTATAGACATTTATCCTTCAGAGGTTACCCTGCACATTTGCCTGCTAATACTCTTAACTTTACTGACTCCAGTAATGAGTTGTGCACTGACATTTGAGATAGAGTAGAACACCTAACAACAAATCTGTGCCACATTTTGTTTACAGTATTTTGGCTTGGAAGTGAAGTTGGCTGACTTAGAAATGACTAAGAAAGTTGTTGCAAAATAGGATCATTTAGAGAACATTGTCACAACTTTTATGAAACCTGAAACATGAATTAAAGTTGCCCCCTATCAGCATGCTGTTCAGAGATGGAGCATGCTCCCTGCTCTGATTGACAGGTGAATGCATCTCAGGTATCTTCAATTAATTTGGAATGCAATGCACTTTCTGACAGCATTTCTACAGCTATTCGAGCCACATTATTGTAAGGTGAAGATTTTTTCTTTGTCTTTTCCTCAGTAAATTAATTCAAATACTCATAATAAATTATAGATCTTTACCACCATCAACAAAAGTTCATTTGGCAACTAATTTTTCAATGTTTCTGTTCCTTTGGCTTTCTCCTGTGATTGATAAATACTAAAGATGGTCATTAAGATAGGTTAGTGGCAAGGTTCATGTATAGGTCAGATGAGGTAATACATCTTAGTTTTACTATTTCTGTTCATTTGAACAGTCACTCAAATGTCTCAAATTCAAGGTCTTGGAGGTGGAAGTGTAATGAACATCACCTTATTTAAGCCTCCCAAAAGAGCTTAGACTTAGCAGAGTTTCTTCTGCTTTATAAGTTGTTTGATGTCCTGTTCTCGTCTTTGTAGAGTTTAGAAGTTATTTCATAACCAAGTTAACTTCAGTCTTCTGGGCAATGTTTTACAGCTGTTGCCTTTCAAACTGCTGTATATTGAGACATTCTTCTATCCATGTTCTTTAAGACTGACAACACAAGAACCACTTCACTGATTTATAAGGTGATAATCCATATGTATTCATACATTTGTAGTAGGCAGACATACACCAATGATGCAATGTATTAATGCCACCAGTCATGGCAGTTGATTCAGAGCCCTCTAGTCCAGGCCATGTCTCTGTGCACAAAAGTAGTAATTAAAGAAAGAAAAAATCTTGCATAACTTGGTTTTTACATGAAAAAGCCTCCCCTTTTTATAAGTTGCATCCTGTCCCTGCAATTTGTGTTGATTTCTAGGTTTTAAAACATGAATCAGAAGTGACAAAGTAGTAACTATACCAGGACTATTGAGAGGAGATCTGTCTGTGACCAAATGCAGCTGTTGTTCCCAAAATAAAATGTTGCTACATTTAGATGATAAATTACTGGTTTTTGCCAAGCACACACAGATTTTCATGAAAAAAGTGACACACACAAAGAAAGAGTTTTATTTGTCTGCCTCAGTGAAGTAATAGATTTTCATACATTTTTTGCAAACATAGATTCATCATTTTCCCAGAGAAATTTTGGCACTTTACCAAAGGATACGCAAAGTCATGGCAAAGTGTATTTTCTGCCTTCAGCAACTGCCTTGGCTTTCTTTTAATAAGAGAAAATTCAAGGAGAGAATGGAGGAATAATTCACATCTGTGCTAACCAACAAAACCATGAATACCGGCTTCCTTATCAGAGACATGCCAAACTAGCACCTTTTGAGCCCCACGACACCCACACATTGCTTCACTTCAGTGCTTTCAATAAGGAATTCTGATCTGAGCCAGATTTTAGGTATGTAAAGCTAAGACACAGCTGCCTTGCTCCATCTGTATCCTCAGTAATACCAGAAGAATAGAAACTGGAATAACTTCTCATCTCTTAATAGCAGCCGAGAATTGAAAAGTTGTTACTCTAGGCCAAAACACTTATTTGGCACTTTCCTGGACCTCATTATCTTCATATCTGAACACTTTTCAATCTGTTTATTGTTTTTTTCCTCATCATTGTTTCCCCCATTTGCAGGTATTCAGTATCATAATGGAAGTCGGTGACAAATAAGAGCATTAAACTGTGGTTTCCTAAGTCCCAGGCCAGTCCCCAAACGACTGAATCATTCTTCCTCTGGGACCTACCATTATCTTCTGGTGAATGTATAAAATCAGAGCTGAATTTAAGGGGAAGTAATGTCTGGACCCATGCCTAGTGTTTAGAGAAAAGGGGCGACGGCAATGCTTAAGCAATCCTTTGCCCCAATAGAACCAGCCTCCCAACTGGCTTCTTTCTATTCCACCTCTTCCCATTTCCATAGTGGAATTTGAATATTGTGCAATAAATGAGGCATTGAGCAACACCTGGAGCCATGTTAATGTTTGACTTTGCAATCTTAATAATGTGGTTTTAACAGATATTTTTGTTAAATATCTGTTAGTCACGCAGCTACACAAACCTGCTAAGAAAGAGGGATGCTTCCTGCTTCCACATTTGAGTTGCTGTTCCACCTTGCCACCCTACTTCAGAAACAGAGGCCTGCTGGCTGACCGAGGGGTGAGAGGGAAGATGAGCTTGTGGTTAAGATGCTGAACTGGCCCTTTGGAAATCTGAGTTCTGTCCCTGATTCTCTGGCATATTTCTTGTGATTACACAAACCTGCTAAGAAAGAGGGATGCTTCCTGCTTCCACATTTGAGTTGCTGTTCCACCTTGCCACCCTACTTCAGAAACAGAGGCCTGCTGGCTGACCGAGGGGTGAGAGGGAAGATGAGCTTGTGGTTAAGATGCTGAACTGGCCCTTTGGAAATCTGAGTTCTGTCCCTGATTCTCTGGCATATTTCTTGTGATACCATGGGCAAGTCACCTCTCTCTCCCTCCCTGCTTCCAATAAACTGTAAATAACAACTCCCTGCTTTACAGAGGCCCAGTGAGACTTTGTTAATGGTTATGAGGTTGTTATATGCTAGGGCCATAAGTACGTTACTTACATTGATAACAGAGGAGCTGTACAGGGATGGTAGCAAGGGAATAGAGCTGAAGAGCCAAATGCTCCCCATAGGGCTTCCCCTTAGACCAAATTGTTGTAGGAATCCACTTCTATACATGTCAGAGGGTGGCCCAGTTGACCTTTTCTCTTCGGTCTGCCCTTGCATCCTCCTTTGCCAGCCTCTGGGTTTGCTCATGGGTTTGCTAGTTGGCAGCAGAGTGAAGCTGACATAACTCTGGCTTGTTGCACCTAAAGGTTTTGAATACCAACAATGAAAATGGACTAGTTTCACTTTTCTGTTCAGGAAAGCTAGGAGGGATTCCAGCAGCCTGTCTGCAGATTCCAACCCATCTTCCAAGTATTAGGGCTGGAAACATCCCTTTAAAATGTTTAATAATAAATATAGCAGAAAGTGGTTATTTAGTGCCTCTCTCCTAACATACACGCATCAGGGGAAATTTGCCACTAGCACTATCTACCAGATTTTTCAAGCCCTGCCTTAGAAGTAGTGGAGATCTGAGGAAAGGAAAGGGTTAACTGAGTCATCCAAAGGGGACATATTTGGGTTCTTTAATTGTGACAAAACCTTGGTAACATTTTAATAAAGGGGAAGGAGTATGTCAACTCATAGATATGCTCCAGCTTTCAAACCTGCCTATGTGTAATTTAAAGCAGCTGGCGAAGGAAAAGTAGAGCTCTGACATTCCTTTAGCTTACAACATCCAAGAGGTTATGTCAAGAAAGCTGTCAGTGCCAGATAGCTGGCATTTCACTGAAAGGCTCTTACTTTTGGGAATGATCAAATACAACTTACAGAGCTGTTTCCATGTAGCAGACTACACCTATGAAGCAACAGACAAGTCTCAGTCCCCACATACAACTCCCAGATGTGAGTTTGAAAAGATCAGGGGTAGCCTATGGCCAATAGAGTACCAGACTGCTTTTCACAATACAAACTCCAGCCACATTTCCTTGTAAGCAGTGGCCCCGAGACTGCTCTGGCATTCTTAATGCTGTAGCTTCCTGAGGGGAGCAGGAAAATTACAAGAGAGCCCAGAAAGGTAAGCAATTGGGTGACAGAGAGAAGGGGGAGAGGGAGAGAGCAGATCTGAGTAAGCAGAGATAGCTGTGCAAGTCAAAGTTTAAAATAAATGGGTTTACTTGGTTACTCCATTCTCAGTGTAGGTAGTTCTGTAAAATCCAACCAGGGAGCCATTCAGCCAGCCTTGGAACTTCAGGGTGAGTACATAGTCGACATTTTCAGCAGTAGGAGAGAGCTTCTCTTCTGCCTCCATCACCACATATTCATGTTGTTCATATTTAAAGCAATCTCTCAGTGCAATCTGCTGCCCGGAGGATTTCCGGAGCACAGGCGTCTCTGTGATCTTGGTCTCTCGGAGGTGAAGCCACAAATGCTGGGTTGATTCATTCAACTTGATGGAGATGTTGACTGTCCCTGTGTAAATATCTGCTTCCATCTCAGGCTTAATTTCCAGCTGATAGTGCACTGGGTTAATGTAAGTGGGTAGCCTGAAGTCTTTCCAGCCTCCATTCACATCATTTTTGGGAGCGCAGTAGTGCAGCTCCTCTGTCCCAGGGACGGTGGTTGCTGGCTGCTGTGTGGCTCCTGAATTCTGGCAAGGCTCAGGTCTGCTTAATCCTACACCAAGTCCCACAGCTAAACCTACTACAACCACCACTGCACAGATAATGGCCACATGCTTTTTCTTCATGCAGTACTTCTTGGACATCTTATCTTCAAAATCCATTCCCTGCATCTCTGCTCCCCTCTCTTCCTTCAAAGCTAGACATTAACTCTAAAAAAGGCTTATTAAGCTCCTCAGCAGCGTTGCCTGTTTTAGGCCAGCAGATTCGATCTGTATTCTAATGATGTAGTTATATCCTTTCTGTCTCTGTCTCCCCCACCTCTCCTTCCACCAAGCACTCAATTAATTAAAGATAGCACTCATCTGAACCAGAGGCAAAGTGGCTGATCCAGAGGAGTGCAGCTGTGAAGGAAGACAGAAGAAACCGGCGCAGAAGAAGAATTTTGTTACTACTCCTCTCCTTATAAGCAGTGCAGCCCCACCTCCTATTCCTCCTACTCTGCTTTCAGTTAAATATAAAACAGTGCTATGTTAATCAGCAGTTAGGGGATGATCATATGCCAAAGCTCTGTCAGCAGCTTTCAGAAAGAGTTCACAGAGAGTGGTGTAACTGCTAGGAAACCTCAACCTTTGCCACTACCTCTTATTTTTTTCCTCCTGTTGTTGTTGTTGTTTTGATTAACAACCAAGAATTTCCTTGAAAATCCACCATGGATTTTGTGCAGTCAAATTTCCAAGATTAAAAAAAAAAATCTTTGCAATTTCATTCAGTTGTTTTCCCTCAGTCATGGAGTCATTCTTTCATTGTGTAACTCCATGCAGTTACAGACAGAAGCATTGGCAAGAAAATGGTATAACTTCACTTTTGTTTCAAGCTTTAAAATGTTGCTATTTTCACATATACAGGACCAGTTTTCAAAGAGAGGTTTAAGAACTACACGTACTAACAGGGTAGCTGGGGGTGAATTTACTTCCCTGGTCAGTGCCCTTAGTGCAGTGGTCTCCAACCTTTTTAAGCACATGATCACTTTTTGAATTTAAGTGCAATTCAGGATCCACCTCAAACCCAAACACCCTTGTCCTGCCTCCTTCGTGCCTCTTCTCCGAGGCCCTGCCCCTGCTCACTCTGACCTCCCATTCTCCTTCCCTTTCACCAGGCAGGGGCAGAGGGTTGGGACACAGGCTCTGGTCTTGGGCTAAGGGATTTGGAGTGTGAGGGGGCTCTGAGCTGAGCCTGGGGCAGGGAGTTGGGGTGCAGGAGGTGGTTCAGGGTGCAGGCTCTGTAAGGGAGTTTGGGTCTGGGGGGGCTCAGGGCTAGGTCAGGGGCCTGGGGTGTAGAGGGGGGCACATGACTGGGGTAGGGTTTGGAGCTGGCTCCAGCTGGACACTGCTTATTACAGGTGGCTCCTGGGTGGTGGTGTAGGGGGCTAAGGCAGGCTCACCCCTGCCCTGGCCCTGCACTACTCTCAAAAGCAGCCAGCAAATTCCTTCCATCCCAGGCCCTGTTGTCCCCTTCTCCCCTTTCTGTGGGGATAGAATACAGGGAGGAAGAAGGGGCACCCTGACATCAGCACTCCTCCTCTCCCTTCCCTGCTCTGTATCACAAGCAGGAGGTTCCTGGTGGGGGCAGGGGGAAGCTCCCAGGCAAAGGGCAGGAACTGTGCAGCAGTGGGGGGAGGTGCAGCTGAAGTATCCACACTTGATAGCCTGTTCGCCAAACCAGTCAGGATCACCTGTCAGAGGCTCCAAGATCTACCAGCAGATCCTGATCTACTGGTTGGTGACCACTGCCTTAGGGAAAGGGGGAAACTCCTCCCCTCACTCACTGCAGCAACAGAACACTGTTCCTCAACCCCGTCCAGATGCATAAATCATATTCACAGCTGCTGTCAGTTACAAATATAAGAATGATTTCCTTGGTTTTCTGGTCTCTTCTCCTTAACCCTTCACTCAATGCTTTCTCTCTTGCTCCAGTTATCCATGCCAATGTAGATTAGGTAACTGCAATGTGTTATGTAAGTTCTTTCAGCTAGTGTAGAATATAGCTTCACGCTTACTTGGAGTTGGAGTTAGCCATAGGAGATATACAGTCTTTGCCCTCCAGAGATTATGCAGACCTCCTGTTTACTTTCAATGCAACTAAAGGCATGGCTTTTAATTATTTTAGTTTGGGCCTCAGTATCTGAGAAACCTCCTCTATTCTTGTACACTTCTGTGACATGAGATATGGATTTAGGCTGACAATTACTAGAGCTACCATCTGGCTACCATAAAAAGAAATTGCCAGGCAACCCAGTAGTGACATCTGTTCAACGTGCAGCAGCAGTGCAAAGCCAAGTAAAGCCAAGGCTTTACTGAGCAGAGAATAAAGATTAATATGAAGACCATTCTAATCACTTGATGGTATGTTCTTGAATCCTTGAATTTGGTATTCAGCTGTGAGCTCATAATCTCCTTTTAAAAAAGGACAACACAGAAGTTAAGGAATATTCAGGACTAATTGGAGCCAGGGGTGTAGAAGAGGAGAAGTAATCCTTATGAAGAGATTAAAAACACTGAGCCAAATTCTGCTGTCCTACATTGGTGTGCACAAGGGCTCTGTCTACACTGCAGTGCTATTTCGTGATCCATCCAGGATCCCAAAATAATTATTCCATGTCTTTTGAGCGCACCTGTTATTTTGAAATATAATGGGCTCACTATTCCAACGTCCCTGTAAATCTCATTCCACAAGGAGTAGGGGATGTTTTAGAATAGCGATTTGTTTAGAAATAAGCACTGTGTAGACAGCACCAAATTTTGAAATAAGCTATTTTGAAATTGACTCGAAATAAGCTATGCAATTTGCATAGCTCAAATTGCGTAGCTTATGTCAAGCTAAAGGGTGCAGTGTAGATGCACCCATGGCGTGACTTTATAAAAGTACTCTTAATTTCGAAAGAAGAAACTAAAAGATAAGATATAAAATATTGGATGGCTTAGTAAATTCAATTTACCTTTCCCAAGATACAAGAACAAGGAGACATACAAGTTAAAAAACCGTAACATTACATGTGAAAGAGAGTAAAGGAAACTTGTGTTAAACTTGTGGTGATATTGCTAGCAGCATAAATGGAAAGTTTATGTTACTCCAACATTATTGTTGATAATACCTGGCCCACTAGTGTTCGCAGAATGTCTTATTACCTTGAGGGCAATTTGCGTGATAGCATGCCATTAGTGGAAAGTTGAGGAGCACATGAAGCCAGCGTTGAATAACAGCAGTGACGCCTCCAAAAAAAAAGGGAAACTGTTGGTCATTCTCAAACTCTCAGTAGTCTGCAAAGTGCTCAGAAAGTCATCATTCAGCATGAACTACCCTGCAAAGTACTCCAAACTGTATTACATTGCTGAGGAAGTTGTAGCAAAGCAATTGCAAGAGTACCTGCCCTTCAACAGCCTTGGTTGCTAATACATCCTATTGATGTATTTTAGGATTTTGAACTGCTGCACATCACTGTAATCTCTGAAAGCCTTTCCATGGGTAGATTTCCTTGATTGAAAATGTTTTATCCCTGGACTCTAATGCTTCATTCAGGCTTTATGGTCTCCACTGTCCCTGAGAAGTGCAACTGTCTTGGTGTAGTCTCCAGTTGACCATGGATCAGAGCCATTGAATGCAGAGACCAAAATCTTAAACTGGCAACAAAAACAGGATAAGAGTCAATGGGGATATTTCACATAGATTTCTCCTGGATAATTGGAGTATTAAAAGTGCCTAATAAAAGATGCTGTGCGAAACACAAATACAGCTTCAAAATTTAGCTCATCTGCAACACTTCAAATTGCCATTTCCTGAATATAATTTAACAAACTGAAATAAAACTAAGTATTTGCTAAAGACAAGACTATGGAAAAATAAACACAAAGCAAAAGTTGAAAGATTCAAATCTTAAGGGCAATGAGAGTAAACTTTTATCTTTTGAAAAAGCCCGTGGGTAATTGGCTTTAGAGGAAAGTTACATCCATAATGTCCAACATCAAATGTTACTGAAGATCCTTAGACTTAAAAAAAAATATCAAATAGTGTCTTGATCTAAATCTAGTTTGAAGTCGGAATCTTTTGTGGAAGTAAGTCTGCTTATCAGTCACTTCTCTGTGGATGTTAGTTCCCAAATGAGAGAGAGGATTTTATACACCAATTCACTCTCTTAATTTTGCAGGATCACTGCCTTTCTTTTCTCCAGAGGGGCTTGAATGCCAGTAGTTAATGGATAAGTTTAGCTAACATGTCCTAAAACAACCAAACTCAAGTTCAAAAAACTAGTCAATGTCTTTCAAGAAGTCACGTGGATCACTACACCAGAACAGTGCAGCTTCTATTTTATGAGAATAATAGCTAAATTCTGGTCCCTTTTTTGAGTCAGGTAAAATTTGTGATGACTTGAAGAGCAAGATTTAGGCCCTAAATATTTGGGCAACTGAAGAAGCTGAGATGTTGCTACACTGCAAAGTTCAGACCCATATTTCTTGCAAAGCTTGGGGAAGTTGAGAGACACAGTTTTGATTCTCACCCCCTTCTTGTAGAGATTCATAGAATCGTAGACTTCAAGAGATCAAGTGCAGTCCCCTGCCCTCACGGCAGGACCAAGCACTGTCTAGCTCATTCCTGATAGATGTCTATCCAACCAGTTCTTAAATAAACTATTACTATTATTGTTGTTGTTGTTTGTTGTTATTTATTTATTTATCTACAAAGAGTATCCTAACCACTGTACACAAGAAAGACTTGGTCCCTCACCCCCAAAGAATTTATAATCTACTCTCTGACGTGGCAAAATAAGCAAAGGTGATAACAAACAAAGTGGGGGAGGTTACTTAGGCATAGACACAACATACCTTGATGGCCCCACTAAGCATTTGTTTTTCCATTGTGTTAACTTTCTTTTCATAAGTGACACAGCAGTTACCTGAAAGTGTATTTTTAAGTTGATGATCTTTATTAAATTGCTTGTCTCAGTGAAGAATAAAGATTACTGAATCCTGAGTCAGATCCACCTCCAAAAGAGTCCTCAGCATTCATACCTCCCACACAAAGAAGTTTTTCATAATGTGATGTGCTACTCTGAAGATGTTTCTCAAAGGAATTGAGTTGTTTGGAGCAGATAGCTTCAGTTTATGAGATAATTCTGCTCCATCCTCCCCTCTTCCCTACCTCTCTCCTGAGGACTTCAGTTTTCTCCTTTTTAAAGGCCTCCTGCCTATCATACATATGTGCTTGACCCAGGGCCTCTGTAGCACCTTCCTCTTTAGTATGATCTCTATGCAACCCATCACAAAGTCCCATGTCATACATGTGTTGGATGATGGGATTACAACAGAATTCCCATGAGTTCACTGTCACTTCTGGTCTGAGAGAACTGGGCTGACGGGGTGGGATCACATTGTCTTGGAAACTTTGAATGACAATTAGTGGCTTCAGAACTTCCAAATGAGGAAAGAGACATTAATGGAGATGTGTGATCATCTTCCAACAACATTTTGTGCCAGACTACTCATTTTCAGAAACCCATCCCTATACAGAAATGGGTGATTGTTGCCCATGGGAAGATAGCAACACCTGACAGCTACTGG